TCCAATACACCACGTAGTCTTCTCCCCAGGATGTAAAGACAGAGTCAAGTATACCAAGGGACTTAGAAGAGGACACCCCCAAAGATACTGGCTAGAATTAAACATGGAGATAGCATTGCCAATTCTGAAAGCCTACGCTGAGTACACCGCCCAAGAGTACAGAAATGACACAATAGGTCTCAAACACATGTTGAATAAGGATTCAGGGTTCCAAGCATATCTGGTGACTGCGCCTACGCGCCAAAAAGGCTTGTTTGCACGTCATGTAAAGCAACTGGGAAGCGCATGGCAGCCGTAAAAAAGCCTTGAACCCCCCAAAGTCTGCAGAGTAATGAACCCTTTATTGGTTTTGTGCCTTGATCTTGTCAAATTTGGGGTCCAGGTAAACCCTCAACCTCTTCCACCATTTCTGTGCCCGTCCCCAGGCCGAGACTCAGGCCGCGGTACCAATGCTGTTGCATGCTGCAAGGGTTCAGTGGTCCTTGCTTGGGTTTGGGGGTTTAGAGCTCGCTCGCATTGGTTGTGGGAAGGATTCCTTTATCTCTGTTTATTGAAGAAGGCTCCTGATCCGATCTTGTGCTTTGATTATGCGTGAGAGGCTGGTGCCAGGGGTCCACGCAATAGGATTCATGATTCTAAAATTGTTGGATGTAGGGTAGGAACAAGAACAGGTACACACAGAGTGGTCATTTCCCGAACTCGAAGGCCTTCACAACACCAGCTATTGGAGCGCCATAACCCATGCAACACACCCGCAACATAGCAAGCGGCCCCTGCATAGGGTGACCTGCCAGCTCCTGTACTGTACTTGCCTGTGAGGATCTATCTGCACACTACACCACAGCACCATGTATTCATTGCATGGTTGCAGCAGCATTCCCAAGAGTTCAGTGGCAGGGCATTATTGGACGGAACCTTTTGGAGCGACTGCGGCCGGAGGCAGACAGCGGCGAGCAATGTGTTTCACGTCTCTTGAAACGCGAGTGATGATTATGCAGAATTATGCTTTTGATTCTTTGGCGCTTATAGCCGTATGGCGGTCATGTGATTGCTGCATTGTTTTAGTTTGTTCCTGTACTTCTGGCTACTCCTGTGGGTGCTGGCACCACCTGCCCTACCAAAACATCTACACAGCCCAGTTCAGGTTATATTAGGGCTGTGCACTTTTATTTTGTGTTTCTCAGGGATCTTTTTGGGGGGAGTCGTGCAAACTTGTGGAGGGACCCATCTTTCAAGATCTGGAAGACGCTCTTACTTGGGCAGGGTCTTTCTGAGAGTCACGTGAGCTGAGAGAGGATGTATATAGGAACAGGGGTTCTTGGAGGATAACTTGTCCGGATGCTAGTTGACAAGCCTATTGGAAGCCACCAGTAAGAAGCTTATAAAGCAGATAACTTGGAAAGAGTCTCTCCTCCAACAGCCATTGCTCTTTTTTCAGGAGAGTTGTCTTTAAAGCCGCGCGCCACGCAGGCGGTGCTCATCAACGTTGCCCGGGGCGGAGTTTGCGACCAGCCTGTGCCACTTGGACAGAGACTCCTCTAGGAAATTTCTCAAAAGTCTGGGTCCTTTCTTGGAGGGTTTCTCAGAACTATGGGTCGCTTTTGAAGGTATTTCTCAGCAGGATGGGCCCCTTTTTTTGGTGGGCGCGTAGGACTTACTCATAAGAATGCCCATACAGCATATGCCCTTTCGACACTTTCACCCTTATAATATTAGTAGTAATAATAGTATGAATAGTTATAACTAGTCATAATAGTGATAATACTAATAATAGTAGTAATGGGAATACTAAAGCTGCTGCCACAAGGCTTGCAGAACTCCTCTCGCAGAAGCGCTTCCGAGCAGGCCCATGAGCCTACCTTCCGGCCTTGAAACATGAAGCACAGGAAGGGTCTGTACAAAGGAGTAGTATTTTATTCGGGGATACTATGGTACCCATTATAGAGTAAGATTATATCCTCCTTTGGGGTATAGTATCTTCTATAAGGAATATAATCTTACTAGGTTCAACCACCAAAAAACACTACTCAAAGGGTTTCGGCTTTAAGGTGAAGGGCCAAGGGCTTAGGGCCTAGGATCTAGGTTTAGGGTTTAGGATGTAGGGTTCAGGGTTTAGGATTTAGGGTTTAGTGTTTAGGGTTTAGGATTTAGGGTTTAGGCTTTAGGATTTAGGGTTTAGGGTTTAGGGGGTTCCGACTG